ACTCAAATTTGGTACCTTTTTACACCAAAGTTCATAAGGAGTATTCTTACTCCTTTTATTTGGAGTTCTGTTCAAGATGTAACATGCAGTTAACATTGCCTCACCCCAAAACCCTTCACTTAATCCAGAATAAGACAACATGGAATTAACCATTTCTTTCAAAGTCCTATTCTTTCTTTCAGCTACACCATTTTGTTGTGGTGTATAGGGAGCTGTGGTTTGATGTATTATTCCAGTTGATTCAAAATAAATTGGATCATAATACTCACCACCGCTATCAGTACGCAAGACTTTATTAATTCATTTTTATGAAGCTCAACTTGTTGTTTATTAATTTTAAATTTATCAAGTGCTTCATCCTTGGAATGTAGCAAATAGACATAACAATATCTAGATGCATCATCAATAAAAGTAACAACATACTTTTTGTTTCCAAGGGAAGGTGTTGCATGGAAATCACATAAATCACTATGTATTAGATCCAACACCTTGCTTTCCCTAACAACATCTTTGAAAGGTTGTCTAGTGATTTTAGTTAGCATGCATGTTTTACATTTTTCATTATTTTGCATATCAAAGGAAGGAATTAAACTCATTTTAGACATGTCTTTTAATCTTTTGTAATGAATGTGTCCTAGTCTAGCATGCCATAATTCATATTTATTAAAATTATTGCTAGTACTAGTAGAAGCCATGCAAACAAAATTATCAATAAAAGGATAATTAATATTTAGCCTAATCATTCCATTACATACATATCCAAATCCTATAAAAGAACCATGTCTCGACAAGATATACTTGTCACTTTCCAATACTTGTTTGTAACCACAATTATTTAATACAATTTCAGACACGAGATTCTTACGAATCCCTGGAACATATAAAACATTGTTCAAACACAAACATTTCCCATAAGTAAAAGTAAGTAAAACAGATCCTATGCCCTTGATTGGTTCAATTGCAACATTTCCCATCTTCACAACAGATCCATCATTAATTGGTTGAAAGTCCTTGAACCAATATAAATCTTTGCAAACATGACTTGTTGCTCCCGAATCAACCCACCATGCAACATTATCATCCTGCACATAAAATGCTTCAGAAATCACAGAAATATAATTCTGAATATATTTAGAATTCTGCATGAATACAGAAATCTGACCTTGTTGCTTCTCTGGATCCTTGGATCCATTTGGTCCTGCACCATCCTTGTTCACTTTACGTAAACGACAATCTTTCTTGAAGTGACCCGGTTTGTTACAATTCCAACAAACCACTTTAGCCTTCTTGTTGGAAGACTTTTCATCCTTTCCTTTAAACTTCCTTTTTCCATTAGACTTCTTTTGATTCTTTGATCCTTCTTCATCCACCATGTTCACAGAAGACGAACCAACTTGGTTCTTGCCTTTGGGATTGTTATCAAGTTCTTGAGTCCTTAAGGATTCTTAAATCCGTAAATGGCTTCCAAGTTGAGTCGAAGTTAATTCCTCTTTGTTATGTATCAGATTGTGTTTAAAATCCTTCCAGGAAGGGGGCAGTTTGTCAATAATCACAGCCACAGAAATGGCTTCATCGATTTTCAGATTGTGTTGAGCAAACTGTCCCAGGATCCTTAACATTTCATGGAATTGTTCCATAACAGGCCTAGAGTCAATCATTTTGTAACCCATAAAGTTACTGACAAGAAACTTCTTGCTAGAAGCATCTTCTACCATGTATTTGGATTCAAGAGAATCCCACAGTTCTTTTGCAGATTTGAAATTTTGATAGATATCAAAAAGAGAGTCAGACATACCATTGAGAATATGACCACGGCATATGTAATCATCATTTTCCCACTTTGATCTCCTTCTTGTTGCGTCCAAAGGTTCATCTTCAACAGATTCTGGTAAGACTGGAATGGGTGTACTCATAACATATACCACTTTCAGAGTGGTAAGGAGAAAGTGCATCTTCTTCTGCCATCTACGAAAATCTTGCTCTTCAAACTTGTTCAATTTGTTAAACTTGCTTGTCATATCCTTCACAGAATCGCCACTTGCCATGATCACAAATTACTTCGATTTATGTTAGAAATTTGGGTGTAGAAAGGCTTGGAAATTCTGAGAATTATGATTATCACTTTCAAATCGAAGTATTTGGTGGTACTCCCAAATCTTCAATTGGATATGACTCAGAGAGATAAGAACCGAGAATGTTTGATGATATTTTCGTATGTACTAGAAAATGAGACCAAAACCAACTTTAATATCTTTGTCTGAAAACTATCATATGACAGTTTTAAACTGTCATAAAACCATAAAAACTGTCATAAAACGGATATATGGATAAGGGTCAAACCAAGGGTCAATTATCTGGAAAATCAATTTTCTGATGCATTTTTAATATAGTAACATACCCTTGGACCCTTGGTTTGACCCTTGGAAAATCAATTTTCGATCCTAGCCAGGGGCTCTGCCCCTTGGACCCCGCTCCGAGGGGCGCTGCCCCCGGACCCCCTTTCGTTCAGGGGCTTCGCCCCTAAATGACAATGTACTTTGAAACTTGATCAAACTTAAACAAGTGTGTACTCCACACCTTCCTTACTTGTTTAATATTTATCAAGATCATTTTTGGTCACACACAAAGTAATCTCATTACACTTAAATAACATTGATGATCAAAATCACCAACAACTCCTCTAATGGTTCACAAACACCATAAGCAAGAGGATGAAAAGGAGAGAGAGGATTGAGGCTTCCCAAAACGTGTAGAAACCCTAACAAGAAGCTTAGCCATGTTTTTTAGCCTTAAGGGGTCTTTATATAGTTGGGCTATTAGGGTTATCTAACAAGGAAACCCTAATTTGGATGCTTAAGCCCTAAGCAACACATAGACTCCTTTTAATTAAGCCCTTGGACGATTTCCTTATGGGCTTCCCCATAGAATTCGTCCACCCCTTGATTCAAGGCAATCCATGGCCCAAATTGCAATTATCTTATAATTACAATTCCAGTCCCTTAAGTTTAATTAATCTCTTTTAGTCACAAAAATAATTACCAACTAATATTAATTAAACAATATGATTTCTCCTTTAATATATTATTCTCATAATATATTAATAAATCATATTTAATCATTTCTCTCCATAATTCATCCTATCAAGTTGCTTTGGTGAAGGCAACCCAAAAGGACCATGCACCATCGGGTCAAGTACATACCAAAATAGTTATGGACTTAGACACTAATCCAACAGTAAATGCATATAAGTCGAAGTTTATCTGTTACTTTTATCCTAAGAGGGTAAAAGCGATATCTTGGCCGCTCGATGATTTGATTTGACTTATGTGCCGGGCCCGGTCAGAACTGAATTGATGTGTTTGGTTAAGTTCTATGTCGAGTAAGTCTGAGATCGAGAAACCAAATGCTAGACAATTGGTTCCATATGAATGTTTGCATGATATCTAAACAGAGGATTGTACGATCCTCTATCTAAAGGACAAGATTGATAAGATCAGAGTTTGATAGCGTCTTTGAGAGCTACGATTGCTAATCGGATTATGCTTGTATATATAATTGATAAACTTATCCAAGTGGGAGACTGTTGGAATAATGTCTAAGGCTGCAACTATATTAGGCAAGTATTTGACCCGATTGTGCATGGTCATTTTGGGTTGCCTTCACTATAGCAACTTGACATGATGATTTATAATGAGAGAAGAAATATTATTAATATATTATGGGAATAATATAAGGAATAATAATATTATTATTTGATTAATATAAGTCATAGATTAATTAGGAATTAATTTGGTGACTTAAAGAGATTAATTAAATAGAAGGGCATAAACTGTCAAGTGTATGATAGTTGTACTTTGGGCTATGATCCCTTAAGGTTAAAGGGGGACGGTTTTGAGGGCTTTGGATAGACCTTGAAATCGTCCAAGGCTTATCACTAGGGTATTGGATTGCTTAGGTCCTAAGTTATCCAATTAGGGTTTAAAGGTGAAACTCTAGGAGCCTTACAAGTATAAATAGACCCAAGGGGTTGATGAAATCGGTACTCTTGCCTTTGGAAGAACCCTAGCCGATTTCTAGCTCCCTCCCCTCTCTCTCTAATTGTGACATCCCCATTTTTACGGCCAGAAAAGACCGATTTTGTTTATGCTTTATAAAAATCAGAGTTCTTCTTTTAATAAAAATGTTGCAGAATTTGTTCATAGAAAAACATGATAAATACGTTATTAAAACATTTTCGAAGAAACATATTTATTCGTTTCAAAACGTTTGGGATGTCATCGTTAATACAGAAACATAAGCATAAATAGAACTTACATTTATTTACACTAGTGATCTACATCTCTTTAAATCTCTCAGTGTAATGTGACTTCATATCAACACCTGTGATATAAATAAACTGAGTGGGTCAGGTTGGGAAACCTGGTGAGTACATAGAGTTTTCAACCCACAATAATATAATTATTATGTTTAAACAATCAAACAATCAACCCAATTATTCCATGGAAACGACTAAAACTCATGCATGGCCACAATAAGACCTCCAAGATGGAAACTTTTCTGTTCTTGGGACTCATATAGCACTAAGGGTGGCAACCCTAATACTAGAGACATATTTTGGACGATAAAAATCCATTATTGGGATAAAAAAAGGTCCAAAACACCTTTACCACAAATCTAAGTATACATGAGGCAAGTTGGGAGCTTTTTACCTCAAATGAGTACTAGATGATGATGATATCTTAGATCATTGAGCTCAAGTTACTCAAGTTCTTCTTCACCAACTTCTCCTTTCTCGTTCCAAGCTTCAAGCCACTTAAATGGACTTCACAAGGTCAAAATCACACAAAGATGGAGAAGGTTAGGTTTCTAGGGTTTCTAAATCAATATGGTTGGTAAGGAGGCTAGGGTTTGGGATATAATGAGGTATTTATATGTCTTAAACCCTAAAAATTAGGGTTTTGACTATGCTTGCGCGTACGCGTATCAACCCCCGGCATCCAATGTTGCCACTACGCCCCGTGTACGCCAATCTTACACCCAACGTACGTCTTCAAACAACCCAAATATATAACAACCCACTAACTATGGGCCCAACTCAATAATCCAACATCAATCTCATAGTCCAACAATTACAAAGAAATTGCATAATTATCATTACCTCACATCACGGGTGTTACAGTTTGTGACTTTTCCACCCTTCTATTTTTTACAAAATCACTTTGAACCCTTCACTTTTAACTTTGAAAAATGTTACTTTGACACCTCTATTTTCTAAATTTCTGTGTTTAACCCGTATTATATATAATTTAGTTTTTATTAACTTTCATTCTTTAACCTAAAAAACTATCTATACATATTTATTTTTATATATTTGTTAGTATAATTTAAGGTGATTAACGCTTCGATTTTAATTTAAAGTTTTCTTTCATTATTATTATTATTTTTTTAAAAATGACATGTTTTTTTATAAACTTTTCGGTTTAAATTCAAGTTTATCTACGTTTCGACATAATTTGTGTGTGTGTGTGTGTTTAACGTTATTTATGTTTTTTTACGTATGAGACGGATCACACATAATAACTTTGGTCTGTTAATTTTAAAAAGCGTATTATATTCGAGTTTGTCTATGTTTCAAATTAATTTTATTTATTTATTTATTTACATTTTTGTGTTTAGTTTTACGTATGTTTCTACATATCATTTGTGTTACATATAATAACTTTTATTTGTTAAAAATATATTATCATCGAACTTGTCCATGTTTCACGAAACGTATTTTTTTATCGTTTTCGAGCTTAATTTTGTGTACGTTTCATATGCATGACCCGGATCACATATTATACGTATTTGATTATTTAAGTTTTCGTTCGTTAAATTAAAAAAATCTTATTTACTTATTTTTATGAACGTGTCGATATAAATTTGAGTTTTTTTCTTTATTTTTTAATGTTTCGATTTAATTTTCTATTTGTACGTGTTGATGTTTATTTTATGTATGTTCATACGTATGAGTTTGTTCACATGTAATAGATAAAAACGTAATTAATTGAATTTTGACAATTGTATTGATTGAAGTTACGTTTCGACGTAAAGAAACACGAATGAAAAAAACACGTACATAAAAATAAGCATGAAACATAAAAAAAATTGCGTCGAAATGTAGACGAACTCGAATCAATACTAATACGTAAAAAATGTGAAAAAAGTTACGTCGAAACATAGACAAACTCGAATATAATACATTTTTTAAGTTAACGAACGAAAGTTATTATATGTAACCGGAATGATAGATACGAATGTATATAAAATTAAGCAAAAAATGTACAAAAAAATACGTAGAAACGTAGACAAACTCGGATATAATACATTTTTTAAAATTTACAAACGAAAGTTATTATATGTGACCCGTCTCATATGTAAAAAAAGTACATAAAATAAAAAAAAAACTAATCGAAACGTAGACAAACTCGAATTTAAACAGAAAAGTTTATAAAAAACCATGTATATATATATTTTTAAATTAATGAAAGAAAGTTATAATTAAAGTCGAAATGTTGACTACCTTAAACTATACCGACAAATATATAAAAATAAATACATAAAAATAGTTTTATTAGGTTAACGAATGAAAGTTATTAATAAAAATAAATTATATATTATATGTGGTTAAACACAAAATTTTAGAAAATATAAGGGTTAAAGTAATATTTTTTAAAGTTGAAAATGAAGAGTTTAAATAGATATTCTAATAAGTAAAGAGGTAGAAAAGCTACAAACTTATAAACATAAAATATGGAAAAAATTACATAAATGGTCCATATGGTTTAACTATAGTCATAAATTTAGTTCTTTCTACTCGAAAATATCAAAATACTCTTACACTAACAGATGAACAGTAATGTTAATGTAAGTTTTGAAAATCGAAGGGATCATATTTGTTAAAAAAAATTAATAAAGTCTGATTTTCTAACTTTTAACAAACCACTTGACAATTTTTATAATTTTGTCTTTTTATAACTTTAAACCAAGTATCCACGGCTGTCACCGCAGGTCGAGAGGGCAATAAGGTCATTACGCCTACCGCTTTCTTCATTGTAGTCTTCGCGGTCAGGCTCCGTCTACTGTTCTTCAATCTATTTTCTGCACCCGCTCGATCTAATATTTCAACTTAAGAACACGAAGAAGAAGGATTTCTTTCAGGAAGATCAAAGTAGGAGTCTGTGCTTAACTTGATCTCCAACGAGGTTTATTGTTTATAACCAATCTCTTTATCGAACCATTAACCCCCTCATTCGATGTTAATAATTCAATCATATTGTAAGATTTTGCTAGGGTTTTTCTATGATTCTATCTGGTTTGAATTTAAATTGGAGAAATAGCTTCATGCCCAGAGAGATCTACTAATATTTGAAATGGCGACTTCAAAAATGGAAATTGAGGTGGAACTGGGTGATAGTTATGTTAGTGAATTTCAGTTTTAAGATATTGATTTTACAATTTCGAGGCTTACTGAAATTTCTGCAGTAGTATGGAATTTTACGATTATTTAGTATGATCTGGTTAAATATTGCAATTAGGTTCAATTTAAATTCTTAGGTAATGCCCGGCGAGTGTGTTCACTAGTGATTTTTCTTTATACTAGTCAATAACGGGTCTAATGTGTTTAAGTCTGAAATGGAAGTAGCTCTATGACCATCGAGATCTGCTAATATGTGAACCGGTAACTTTATGAATTATGATTGAAATTCAGGTGGAATTGGGTGAGAGTTTTGTTATTTGCTTTCAGTTTTGAGAAATGGATTTAACAATATTCAAATTATCCGAAGTTTGTTCACTAGAATGGGATCTTACGATTATTTAGGATGATCTGGGTACAGCTTTTCAATTAGGCCCAGTTTAACTTTTCCTGTCATCCCATTCCAGTATGTGCGATCAATACCAGCTAATAACAATTCTGTCAGTTTTAATATGAAATGAAGACATAGCTTCATGACCAATGATTTGAGAAACTTAAACTTTATAATTCGGTGATTATCTCATTTTAAATTGTAGCTTCAAGATATGGATTCATACAATCTTGGAAGTTACTGAATTTGTTTACTAGAATGGGATTTTACGATTATCTAGGATGATGTGGTTAAAACGTTATCTTATATTCTAATTGTGACATGACATCAATATAAAGTTCATCATTATAAATTTACAAAAGGCTATAGGGTTTATGCATGTTTCTTTCTTTCAGATGAAAGAGATTAGAGATGGAACAAAAAGTAACAAAATATCACAACCACTTGTTTTAGACATAGAAGACTTCAAGGTAAAGCTTCACAATCTTATGTTTTTGTGTGTATGGTATCTAATCGGTGCATGTATTACAGTTTTTTATACTCAATGCCATTGCTATCTTATCCTATTTGTTTTGTGAAGGGCGACTTCTCTTTCGATGCTTTATTTGGAAACTTAGTAAATGAGCTTCTGCCATCTTTCCAAGAAGAAGATGCTGACTCATTAGAAGCAAATGGTAATATTAATGGGAATGATGCTTTGCCTAATGGAAGGTCAGGTCAAGGTCAAGGTCAAGGTCAAGGTCAAGGTCAAGGGCAATTGACTCCTTTATTTCCAGAAGTAGATGCTTTATTGTCAATGTTCAAGAATTCCTGTTCGCAGTTAGTCGAAATTCGGAAACAGGTATATATTGATTGCATAACATTATTTTTATTTTGTTTTGCATCTATGCACTAAGCAATTTAATCTCCTCAACACATTTTTGTATGTTTGTTAAAGGTTGATGGAAAACTATTTAATCTCAAAAAAGATGTTTCTGCACAAGACTCTAAACATAGGAAGACGCTTGGTGAGGTAAATCATTAATCTCATTTTCTCAATGTTTATTTCAGTATTTATGTTCTTCTCATAAGTTCAAAGGTACCTTTGAGTGACCAGACAAGGTTGTATTACAGATTAATAATCTGGAAGTTGACATTTTCATCAATAGATTGGCCTTAACAAATTTCTGGAACTTTTTAGGTTGGATTTGTTTTTTAAAAGGGTCAATGTCACTAAATTGTATCAGAGTTTCAACTTTGTTCCACCCAGGTACCTTGGACTTTATTTGAAGAGGTTTTACCACTCAAGTTTTGGTTTTGTTCCATTTATCTGAAACTTCAGTTCATAATTTTGTTGTTCCATTCCTGATCCCTATGAAATTTGTAAACCAACTTCACCTTCTACATGTAGTTCCAGTAAACCATATTTGAAATAGTTTCTTCTTTTTCTAATGCCACATATTTCTAATCAAAACCCACATAAGTTTATTTATGTCACTATTTCTAATAAAGACAACTATCTAAAACAATACTAATAGTTTTAACAAAAAAGTATTAAAACTGCATGATTTTTTTGACACTGAATTTAGAACTGAATCAGTTTTTGTAATAGTGGGTCTTAAACAAATTCAATTGACATTAAGATTCACATTTTTTTAAGTTTGGAGCCCAACGAATTCTTAGAACGGAACAATAGTACAACCATTACCTTAATATATAGATATCGACTTGATTTCATCAAAATCATCATCTCCAAAAATTGGCTATTTTTTATTTCATTTGATAAAAAATCTCAATTTATAATAAACAATTTGATGATGTCGTATAATTATATTGTCTTATATTGACTTGATTTTATAACAAGCCATTGTTTGTGTTTGTTCGTTTAAAAGTTTCTCTATTTGGTTCGTTCATGTTCGTTTGTGAAGATGTTATATGAACATAAACGAACAGACATAAACTAACATAGACATCCAAATGAAGAACCATATGTAATTAAAAGCATTATATGCAAACCGTACAAAAGAAACATCTAAAAATCCATTAGTAATTAAAAAAATAAAGTTTATATATCACCATCTTTATCCAAACGATTTTCAATGAACGGATATAAACGTACATGGATGAACAAGAGTACAAGACCATTGTATGGGATGTAAGGCTATCTTTTTTGTGTATCACTATCACATCAAAACCTCATTTTGTATAGCACATTGGCATATTTTTGTATACAACATTTCCATAAAGTTGGGGGCTTTTGGTCGCATGTATGGATTTAGGGTAATTTTCCTCATCTTATATGTTAAACTTCAATTTTATTGATCTATATAAATGGTACATAATTTCACAATGGAACAAAACTAAAACTTTAGAGGTTAAATACTTAAATTTAAAAAAAAAAATTGAGGTACCTAGATGTGAAACAAAACTGAAAGTTAGTTATTATTTAATGATTTATTTTTTTGAATATGGTGTCACATCACATCATAGTCAAGTCAATAGTCAAACAGGTAAATAAGTCAGATTTTACCTTTTTTTTTACGTGAATGGAACTTAATGGTAAAACCTCCTCAAAAAAATCTTGAGTTACCTAGGTGGAACAACCATGAAACTTGGTTACTATTCGACATACATTAATCCATTTCTAAAACATGCTCCACATGCAGATCATGTTTCTCTATAGATCTGCTTACAGCCTGGAGATCATTTTACTAGTATATTTAACAAATGTTAATAATTGAACCCATGCAACCTGAAATTTCAATTGTATTCTCATCTTTATTTTCATACACATGAAAGTTTTGAATTAATGCTAGTTTGTTTGAACCTTTTGATTCATCTAAATTAGTAAGATTTTAATTAGTTCCTGTTTTCAGCTGGAGAAAGGTGTGGATGGGCTGTTTGATAGCTTTGCAAGATTGGATTCACGTATTTCTAGTGTTGGGCAGACTGCTGCTAAGATTGGGGATCATTTACAGGTGAAATTTAAATTCTCTCCAATCATATTGTTTTATTAAAAAGCTGGTTTTGTAGTTGTTATGGTCTTTTTAAATTTAAACCCTTGTGTTCTTCAATTCCAGAGTGCAGATTCCCAGAGAGAAACTGCCAGCCAAACTATGGAGCTCATAAAGGTACTTTAACTGGATGCAATACAACTCTCATATGTTTTCTTTGTTCTTGCAAGTAAACTAACACCAGTGTTGATTCTGTTATGCAGTACCTAATGGAATTCAACAGTAGCCCAGGGGATCTGATGGAACTTTCTCCTCTATTCTCTGATGACAGCCGTGTTGCTGAGGCTGCTTCGATTGCGCAAAAATTACGTAAGTACATTTTTTTTTCTTTCAAAAACCGGCTAACTTGTAAATATCATTTTGATTTATTTGGATCTAAATATATCTTTTGAAGTGCACTTTTATTGTCGATATTTCAGGTTCATTTGCAGAGGAAGATATTGGCAGACAGGGTGTGACTATGCAATCTGTTCCAGGAAATGCAACTGCTAGTAGAGGACTGGAGGTTGCTGTTGGCAACCTTCAAGAATACTGCAATGGTAGCTACATTAACATTCAGTTTTTTTCACTTCTGGATGTATAGGTTTATACTTTTTTTAATTTACCATGGTGAATGTTTGTACAGAACTGGAGAACAGATTGCTGTCTAGGTTTGATACTGCATCTCAGAAAAGAGAATTGTCAACCATGGCAGAATGTGCAAAAATCCTATCTCAGGTACTTATATACAATTAAAATGATAAAAAGAAAGTAGTTTTGGCTTACTCTGTGATTTTTTGATATACAGTTTAACAGAGGCACCAGTGCGATGCAACATTATGTGGGTTTAAGGCCTATGTTTGATGTGGAGGTGATGAATGCAGACACACGATTGGTTCTCGGTGACCAGGATTCCCTACCTAGTCCCAGTAATGTTGCTCGTGCACTCTCCTCTTTGTACAAAGAGATAATCGGTATGAATATGATGGAATTTTTTAATTAACATTCTCAAACCGTTTTTTCTCTATAATATTTAAAATATACTTGGCTTCCAGATACTGTCCGAAAAGAAGCAGCTACCATCACGGCTGTATTTCCTTCTCCAAATGATGTCATGTCAATTTTGGTACAGGTATTTGCAAAAAAAGAAAGAAAGAAACCACATATTTATGAATTTTGTTACTTTTGTGACACACACTTACTTACTTACTTACTTACTTACTTACTTGATGTAGCGAGTAATGGAAGACCGGGTTCCTAAACTGTTGGAGAAACTGTTGGTGAAACCATCTTTAGTGCATCCACCTCCGATGGGAGAAGGTGGTCTTTTGCTAGTAAGTTGCATGACTTGTTTGTGCAAATGGATATCTTGTCTGTTTGTTGGGTTTAGATGTAAATATATATGAATTTGGGTTTTGTGGTTCTGTTTTAGTACCTGAGGATGTTGGCAGTGGGATATGAGAAGACACAGGAACTTGCCAAAGATCTACGCAGTGTGGGATGTGGTGACTTGGATATTGAAGGTACAAACAATCCTTTTAGATGATATTGCAATGACTTGAGGATTAAAGTTAGTTTTCTATAGTCAACATATTGTGTCAAATACCTATTTTTGTCCAATTGGAAAATATTCTTCACCACACATGTTAATATGCTATATGAATATGAAAGCAACACACAGAATAGAAGTAAAATACATGAACCTTTGCAATACATCACTTAGCATACTTGATTATTAAGCTACCAAATTTCAAATAATCAACTGAAACATCACCACTTTATTTCCAACAGCCAAAAGCCTACTAAGCCTCTATATCAATATGAGGTCTTCTTAGGCTAATACTAAACCAGATAAAATTCTCATTACACTTGTTTTCGACTCGACAAGCTATAAAAAGTCGGTAAACAACTGATCATTTATTTGCTTAAGAGTTAAGACTCACTTTCTGTAGATTTCTACTCAACACTTGGAACTCAAAAGCAATGGACATGAGCAAGCCAAATTTCCACAAAATCAAAACTAAGATCAACATACAAAACAAATTTACTTGTTGGCCAATTTCACTCATCTCACTAAAATTATAATTTCACCTGTTGTTCCTTGCTTCAAGATTTGAATCCAAACTTTCTTGAAAGATATCTTCACAACTTCACTGGTATCATCTTCTAGTTCTCAGTCTCTTTCCAGGCACAAACACACACCAAGAGAAAAAAAAAAAAGTGTTGATCTTTCAGCCTAAAACCTCCTCCGCCTTTATACTTGATAATAATATGCTTTCAGAAGTCCTACTTCTAGGTCTAGGTCAGATCGATGTACACCTTTATGGTTACCTTGAACAATGGACAAGCTGTTATAATCTTCAGTAGCTTCCTGATGTTTTTGTGTGGCATGTAATTTGTTTTGCCACATGTTTTGTATGTTTGGACTTATAGCTTTTGGGTATTTATATAATATAGGAGGCAGATCATTTAATGATTTAGATTTTAGAGTCACATTGATAGAATATGTTAAAAGCTAGATAGAACAAGACAGCCCTGACATTTCTAATAAAAGTCATATGGTTACTTTAATTGTCCTGATATACATTTTGTCATTGGTACAGGCCTAACAGAATCTCTATTCATTGATCACAAAGATATGTACATTGAATACGAGCAAGCTTCCTTAAGGCAACTCTACAAATCAAAGGTTTTTTTTTTTTTTTTTTTCTTACAAGACGCACTCGTTTCCTTTCTATCTCTCTCCTGCTATACCTTGATGGATTATATCCCATACAGATGGAGGAACTGCTTTCTGAAAGCCAGCTATCGGGAGAGTCAACTGGGTCAATTGGACGTTCAAAAGGCGCTTCAATATCATCTTCCCACCAGCAAATATCTGTCACAGTTGTCACAGAGTTTGTGCGCTGGAACGAAGAAGCAA